TCCAGTGGGTACGTACCTCACCTCCTGGTGCTGGGTTGCCAACCAGTAGAGCTGTGCTGGAGGAAGGGGGTGAGGTCTTAAGCATTGTGGGCGTGCAGCTGGAGGATGCAGGTTCCTACCTCTGTTACATTAATGACGTCTACAGTGGAGCTTCGGCAGGACTCAATGTCGCGGGTAAGTTGACGGTTGATTTGATCTACTTTACATAACCGCTACAAAAGCAAGTACAGTGAAACCTGCAAAGACTGCTCTAGATATACAAGAAAATGGTATTCAAAAGCAGGTGATTTCCTGTAGAATGTGTTGCAGGGAGAAAATGTTCTATAGACAGGTGGCCTATATAGGGAACTATAGCATATCATTACTTAAGAGAACTAGCGACCTTCTGGTTATAAGACTATAAAGCTCTACCAGTGAGTCATCAAGATATGATAGACATGGCAGTAATGCAGAGGCTGCATGAGTTTCAGAGATGCATCAAATGCTAGTCAAATTTTTATTGTAAAAATCTAAGAAACAATTGACTGAGATTGTTAAAAGAAATTTAAAAAAACAAAACTATAAGCAATGCTGTAATATGAAGATATGACTGTGTATTTAAAGCTGTTTTAAAACAGACTTGTACATGTATGTTATACAACTTCAAGCCGTTTTAGACAACATGTCGACACTTCCTATTACTGCCTTTGGTTTTTCCATGATTTTTTTTCACCTACTAGGAATATGATTACATATAGTTTCTTTCAGTTTTTAATGTTTAATAAGCATTTTTATCATTCATTATTTTGCTTTCCTTTGACCATGTAGAAGCGCCAACATGGGTTAGCGAACCACTGGATGCCATGAAAGACATCAACACCATGCAGGAATGGAACGTAGAGGCCGAGGAGGCTGCCCAGTACACCTGGTATCGCAATGGAGAAATACTGACCGCTCGGGACAGACATCAGTTCCGCAACAACCTTGAGACGCTCATAATAAGCGACCTTAAGACGACGGATACAGCCATGTATCAGTGCTTCGCAAGCAACAATCATGGCATGATTTATTCTGCTGCACAGCTGTCCGTAAGAGGTAAGAACAACTGTTAATAGTACTTTTTATTACCTGAAGACAAAGTTTAACGATTCTGTATTAGTCTGCTAAAACGTATACAGGAGGAAGGGAGAGAGAGAGAGAGAAAGAGGGATACTTTAAATTAGAAATCAGTTTAAGCTGTAGTTGTCAAATTCATTCAACATATTCTCCAGCAATAATTTTTATGCCTCTGTTGCGAAGTAGCCGGAGGCATTATGTTTTTGGGTTGTCCGTCCGTCCCATTCTCGTGATCGCTTTATCTCAAGAACCAATTGATGGATTCCTTCCAAACTTAGGTCATATATATATTTTGCATATTTTGCGCGCAGTCGAAGTTCCATCCAGTTATTTTCTTCGCAATGTACAAAATATGGATGTGGAAATGAACAAATAGACAGAGTAGAAGCAGTCAAAATTCTCCATTTCTTTTTATTATTGGCTCTGTCAGCATTCCCACCTATGTTCCTGAGCCCAATGGAAACAGAGCAGCCTGCCCCAATCACAGCTACAGTCACTGCGTTATGCGATGTGGATGCTGCCCCCGCTCCGACGGTCACATGGCAGCACGATGGTCAACCCATAACAAACAGCGCCCGCTACAACTTGACCGCTGACCCTCCTAACCTGGTCATTATAGGTGTACGGGTGTCCGATGGTGGAACTTACCAGTGCACTGCCACCAATTCAAATGGAACAGTGACCGGCGAGGGTAGTCTGGATATAAAAGGTCAGCTAGTGCATTGTTTGTGTATTGATATCATTATACAGATTTGATATATCAAATTTTGAAGCAACTGCAGATTAACCCTTACATGACCATTCAGAAGATATCTGTATTAAGAAGTACCACTTCCTCCCAGCAATCTTGCATACCTGTACAAAATGTCTGAGACGATATACATTATTTTAATGTATACAGCAATAAATTAAAATCCAATCTAATCCAAACTAATCTGTCTTCAACATGATTTCTTTGATAGATTCGACAGTGATCACGGGGCATCCTGATAACACCTTGGTAGAGGTTGGGCAGTCTACCACCCTACGCTGTAAAGCTGCTCATGATGAATCCTTAACGTTGACCTACCTATGGAAGCACAATGGAGTAGCAATCGACCTCAGTGAAATTGATAGATACAGAATGGTATTAAGGCTGTACTCGGCACATTTCACTCGCGTAATGTGCCGCAATGACATCGCATCGAGCAGCTTGTTGTTCGCTGACAGAATAAGAGAATTATTGTGTGATGTGTAACAATTATAATAAAGGTTTCCCTAACATTGGCTTAACAACCGGACTCCTTAATGAGCAAGAGCTGTGTCTGCAAAACTAAAGATCTGACTGAAGTCATGAGGTCTTTAATTATCAGATTTCGGGCATACAAGATAGGTGGGGTTATAGTATCCAACAAGTCTTATTGTCAGTGTTTGAATCAAATACACTCCTGCAAGGTTGAGCATTACACTTGACACAGTCATGTCAATTAAACGCACCACATATACTTTAATTGTTCTTTTCTTACACCCATGGGGTCATTGATTAATATACAGTTTGAATGGTATTGAATACAAGATTTGGATCTACAATTTTTTCTTTACCTCTTTCTACTTCTGAAATATATTTTATTTCTCTGTTACCTATTTTCTTCTTTTAATTTCTTCTGTGGCCTGATAATTTTCCTCCGTCTCTTCCTTAATAGTCCGAGAGAGATAATGGTAACTTGGAGATCGTCTCAGCTCAGTCACGGGATGGTGGTGAATACACCTGCGTTGCTCTGACTGTGGCTGATTCAGACCGTTCTAGTGCTACGTTAGACATTGCAGGTCAGTGTGTACCCCAGATTCCATTCATTCTCTTCACCACCGTTCATCAAAGTATCCAGTAAACTTGTATCATTAAGGCCCTGTGCCATAAACATTTATATCAATAACAAGATACAATAGCTGTTTGAGTTATAAGCTACTGAAGTCGTAGTATTAGATTGGCTGAGAACAAATGTGTCATGGAAATTTAGCATTTGTTATTGATTACAAGTTTTATGAAACAGGGCCCAGAATTGAATACATGAAAGGAGAACTCCAACCAAACAATGATGAAGAGATTTTGCAAGTGCAAATACGCTCTCAATTTGACATATTAGTGACTTGTGAATAAACTAGTCACGCACGCTTACGTGCCCTCATTGAGTATCACCTGCATGTAACCAATTAAAGATAAACTCCACCCCAGTCGTAAAAAATAGGAAAAAAATAAGGGAAAAATAGGGAAAAAATAGTCTCGAAAATATATTTTTTTTCTATTTTTTCCCTATTTTTTTAAAAGGAAAAAATAGGGAAAAAATAGTTTTGGAAATAGGAAAAAAATAGGGTTGAAACAATTTTTTCTATTTTTTTCCTATTTTTCAGACCTGAAAATAGGAAAAAAATAGGGAAAAAATAGTGTAGAAAATAGTGAAGAAAATAGTGATAACTAGGTGCTAGTGAACAGTGAAAAATAGTGAGGAAATAGGAAAAAAATAGTAAGAAAATAGGAAAAAATAGGGGAAAATAGTAAGAAAATAGGAAAAAAATAGTGAGGAAATAGGAAAAAAATTAGTGAGGAAATAGGAAAAAAATAGGAAAAAAATAGTAAGAAATTAGGAAAAAAATAGTAAAAAAATAGGGGAAAATAGTAAGAAAATAGGAAAAAAATAGTAAGTAAATAGGAAAAAATAGTAAGAAAATAGGAAAAAAATAGTAAGAAAATAGGGAAAAAAGTAAGAAAATAGGAAAAAAATAGTAAGAAAATAGGAAAAAAATAGTAAGGAAATAGGAAAAAAATAGTAAATAAGTGAGGAAATCAGAAAAAAATAGTCAGGAAATAGGGGGGGGGGGGGATCACTCGTCCTTTACCTTCATGGATTTCTCAAGCACTACCATCTCACACATCCAGTCAACGACTCTGTACATTCAATTTAATCATACAGTGCAAACTTGATATAAAGAGATCAGTTATAACTGAAATGACAAGGTAATTTAACAGCTTTTGGGGGTTAAGATTTTTTGGTTGCACATGACCTCATTGTCAAAAGTTTCCACTGTAGAATAGTCACCCTACTCCTACAGCTCTTTTCTCTGCATTGATGCACCTACTCAGTTTGCCAAATTCACTTCGTCCTTTCAGTCCAATCCATTCAATAAAACATTTAAAATAGTCAATGGGTATATGGAAAATGTTATACAGTCCACTCCTATTATAACGAACATGGATACACCAAGATTTTATTATCAGGCAATTCTCATCAGTCCCAATTTTAAACAAACCAATGTGTAACTTGAGTATAACATGATTTCATTTTAACAAGGAAATTGGCTTGGTCCCGAGCACCTCGTTATAATGGCAGTGGACTGTAACAAACAAAAAGAATAAAAGGGAATGTGTCAAATAAAATACATGTACTTTATTTTCGAGAGGTAAACACAATGACATGAGTTTAGTATAGTATGTCAATGTGTGTTCATATAAGCAAATAAATAAAAGAACTTAACTGATATTTACAATCTTTGGTTAAGTACTGTAGTGTACATGTTGTAGTAATAGAGTTGTTCATGGTTTGCCATGATTATACTCTAAAAATAAAAAAAAAGACAAATGCGACTGCGTCTCCTATATGCCTCCGCCTTTAAAAAATATCATCCACCTAGAATGTAGCTTTCTATTTTTGTTCAAATAAAGTATTCAGGTGAGTTTCAGGACTATTACTGAGCCGATGTGGATATGCCAGGGGATCACAAGCTCTCTCCCTCACTAGTAACCAAATAAAGCAGTATTCTGGACATGAGAGTGTTGTTTTCTGTCTCTTTTATTACAATTTAATTACAAAGTGCTCTTAATAATGTAATCACATTTTCAAACCTCAAGAAAATCATTACAAATAAAAAAATTTTCTCGTTATTTACAAAGATAACAAAATAAAATAAATCATAAAACAGATTTTTCAACAATGCATGCATGCTCTATAGTACAGTTGACATGTTACATAATTTTCTCAATCTCAATTGAACTGTCAAAATCTTAATACAATCATCATAATCTAGAAACACTTACTACAAAATCAATGACATGTCATGTCATTGAGATATATATAAAAACAAGAAAATGACAGACTTACATGCTACTATTTTCAAATAGTTTTACAAAGTATACCATCATTACCATGTATCATAAGTAATGGTCTTATGGTCCTTTATCTTCACAATATGCAGGCTCTCATTGTGTACACGTACATGTTGTACTTGCCTATGAATCTCAATGATTAGACATAAGAATTACATAATAAAATGGAAACAAATACTAATGTAAAGGATACAGATGTTGGTCATGCTGTTCACAGGCATCGAATGGTGGTTGTACGTTACATGTACATTGTAGCTTGATTAGTTTCAATGGATCTGTAAAGATATAAATGAAATGTGAGTTAGGGGTTAGAATAATCATGCATTGGTACATTTATGAACATGCAATTAATACTTAGTACAAGTATTTATGTATTTCATAATGAAAAATTCAAAGGCACAGAACATGTGTGTACAAAAGTATGATAGCAAAAAAGATGCCAGGCTGATGACGAACGGATGGTGAAACAACGGAGTCATCAAAGAGCTGTCAAGGTGCATGAAATGTAAACCACTCAGGTAGGCAATTAATTAGAGTTATTTTATTCTTAGATATATTGGGTGAACATACATAAAATAAAACATAAAACACAGAAAAGAAAATAGTAAAGGAACAATTTTTTGAAGAAAAAAATAAAAAGGAATGAGAAAAATAATGTAGATCTAGGACTAGGTAGGACTTGTGCCACCTGCAAATTATTGTTCTAGCATAATGATGAGGTAAACTACTCTAATATTTTGATGTCAGATCTTAACTAACAAACATGAAATAAATAAACCCAAAAAAATTATCAACAATAGATTTAGATTTCTACTTAGTAAGGACATACCTCGCAGACACACTCTCGGACTTGGAAGACTTGCTCTTCTTCTTGCGTGGTGCTTTAGCAGGTTGTGTTTTCTGATTCCTAGAAAAATAATTTGAGATACAGTTTAGCCTAAAACCACATCAAAACATTATATCATGCAAGGCAATATAATTGACAGACGTAGTAATGGTACAAAATCTGAAATTTCTACATGGATTTATTGTAGTCACGTTTGTTTACATTCACTCATTATCACTAACAGACACTACACTGCACTTGGAGATTCACTACACTTCACTCAGAAGTTGTGTAGATTTAGTCTACAACCTCAACACTACATGGGAATATTGATACGTAAAATAACATTCTATAGGCCTACTATGTCTATGAAGTAGCATTATATTCAACAACAGACACAATAAAAATATATATATATCATAATATAATTAAGTTTCAGAAATAAATGTACCTTTTCAGCTGTTTTCTGGGGCCAGTTCCGCTCGTCGATGGTCCGTCATTCGACAACAAACTCGTTTATCTACGAGTGGGACTAGTAATATTTTGAAAATTTGTCGGGCTCATTTTCTTGGGGAGAATCACTAAAATGGGATAATGAGGCATCGGAGTATGAGGAGTCACTATCTCTTGATGAAATTTCATCGCTAGAATAATTGGTGGAAGACATTTTGGTGTGATTTGGAGACGTTTGATGAACGAAAATCAGCAAAAGTCCGATGCGCACAGCAGTGAAAAAAAATAACGGGTCATTTTCAAATTACGTATGGGTACTTGCGTACTATCCTCTACGTTGAAACTTTGCACACACATAGAGCGGGAATATCTCGATCGAATGCTTTTTTTTCTATTGATAAAGGAGATTTTTTTTGTTTGAAATTTCTATGTGTACATTTTCTTTTTACACATGGTTTATGTATGGTTATCTTTGAGTGCACTAGTCACTACTATAGTTTGTAAATAAAATCGAGAATATTAATAAAGGAACAAAATTGAAATTTTGTACATTTTCTTTTTACACATTGTTTATTTATGGTCATCTTTGAGCTCACTATTCAATATGTGATCCCACATCTAAAAACCACCAATAAGTCGCAAAATGAACAACAGAGATAATGGCAGGAGAAGCGGGCTTTTTGAAAAGGATGCCAGTCATAAACAATGAAAATATGCAAGTTTAGAAAATAGACAAAAAATAGTTTACAAATTTGTATCATGTCATAAAATATTTAAGTGCAAAAAATAGGAAGAAAATAGTACTCGCAAATAGGTAAAAAGAAGTCTGAAAAAGAAAAAGGTGAAAAAATAGGGAAAAAATAGTCTGAAAAAGATTAAGGTGAAAAAATAGGGAAAAAATAGTCCTATTTTTATTTTTTTGGAGAAAATAGGAAAAAAATAGTCTGAAAAAGATGAAGGTGAAAAAATAGGGAAAAAATAGTTTGGTACTCGAAAATAGGAAAAAATAGAACTATTTTTTTCGTATTTTCTTTAAAAAAAAAAAGGAATAAAATAGTCCACAAAAGTTGAAGGTGAAAAAAATGGGGGGAAAATAGTTTGTGCTTGAAAATAGGAAAAAAATAGGACTATTTTTTTCCTGTTTTCTTATAGGAAATAGGAAAATATAGTCTGAAAAAAAATATAGGTGAAAAAAATAGGGAAAAAATAGTTTGTACTTGAAAATAGGAAAAAAATAGGACTATTTTTTTCCTGTTTTCTTATAGGAAATAGGAAAAAAATAGTCTGAAAAAAATATAGGTGAAAAAAATAGGGAAAAAATAGTTTGTACTTGAAAATAGGAAAAAAATAGCCCTATTTTTTTCCTATTTTCTTGAAGGAAATAGGGAAAAAATAGTCTGCATTTCCAGAAAATAGGGAAAAAATAGGAAAAAAAAAAGGAAAAAATATATTTTCGCAACACACAAAACTACTAGGGCAGTTCTGGTAAAAAAAAAGAAAATTAATTCTCACAGAATCCAACGAAACTTACACTGAATGTTCAAGATTACAAATAAATGACATGTGCCAAACAATTTTGGAAGAAAATGTATACTGGCTGAGTATTGAGCATAGAAAGACAAGGAAATCGAGGTAGTACTAGCCCCGACACCATGTGTGTTGTCCCATATATAGCTTTCTGTGTACAGTGCTTGTTACTTTACCAAGACGCGGTCAAATTTATTATGATTTTGATGACTCCAGAACCTTGCAGTGCACACCAATACTTACATGCTACATGATCAACTGTTTCTGATCCTTTCCACACCTTTTCTTTCACAATGCAATCGCATTACCAGCTACTAAAGTTTATCATAAGTCCAACGTGGGTTCTTTGCACAGGGTCTTATGTTGCCCTTCATTTTCTTCAGACCTAACTATCAGCCAACATATTGCAAGGTACAGGGCTTTTTTTAAAGGGTTGATTTGATACATTCCCAATCTCCACACGTTATTTTGTAGGTGATTCAGTTTCCTTGAAAACAAAAGCAGATGAAAACACTGTCTCCTTAGACTTGTGGTTTTAAAATGTCAATTTTTTTCTAAATAACCAAAAACTTGTTCTGATGTAGTAGGCACTTTTTTTTAAATGTAGCACTTGTAGCACAATTGTACTAGTCTTATATACTAATACCACTAATCGCCGCGGGGGGTCTAAAACAGGGCAAAACGGTTCCTCAAAAACGTCTTTCCCCGACAGCGCCACAATTCCACGAGGCCTGTCTCCCGTAACCCGCGTGCCACCTCAACCCCGCGATTTCGGGGTTCAGGGGAGGACGGGCGGACGAGAGCATGGCGGGCGTCGTTGATTGCAAGGATGCGACGAATAAACCCAAATGGAAAGCCAGTGAGGCGGCAAGGCGTGCACCTGCACTCTGTCTAATCAAAGAGAGACAAAGAGATACACGATGGATGAGAATCCACTCGCGTCAACGGGAGTAGCAAATCTCATTGTAACGGGTGCGGCGTACCCTGAGTTAGGCATCTTTCTATAGGATATGTTTTGTAGCATGTAAGAGAAATACACATCAACAGATGACTCACCTGGGTGATGGGATGTAGGAAATGCACGCTCTCACGGTGTTAAGTGTGCTAACTTATGGGACACAAAACAGACACGTCTGTACTTCAGTAGAGTTGCAGGATAAGAGAGAGAGAGGTCAGAGAGGTGAAGGATGGAATGTGGATGTCTGGGAGATGGAATGAGAGAGTGGGGACTAGATAGAGTGGGGACTAGATAGAGTTGGGAGTGGAATGCATCAATGACTTAAAGGGAAAGATAAAGTTGCATATATATCGCTTTCTCAATACACACGGGTTGGGATTAGCTTTGTTATGAGTCGTTCTATAGGATATGCTGTTTAGGCCAGGCGGACCTGCTGTGTGTACGAACATACGTGTATAATGTGTGCGATGATTCTACGCTCACCGTCACACGCACAGCTCAGTCGGTTCGACTCTGATTCTATGATGATTGCCGTGAATTGTATGTAGTTTACGTGAATAGAGGTATGCAAGCAGGGTTACTTTGGTATTATTCTGTCTATGTTTACTGAATTTTGATAATCATTCTTCAAAGTAAAGTTTTCACGTGACTGACAATTAAGTTGCAAACTGCCTTGAGTCCACACACGTTTTGCCACTGCAGCTGAGCGCTGCTGTCGCCGGTGCTGTCGGAGCTGTGACTGAGTGTGTGAGCATGTAGCTAGGCCTGTCCGTGGTGTGAGGAGAGTTGAAGTTAAACAACACTTGCTATTATTAAAAATTGCTATTATTGCCCCGATATCAATATAGTTTCGTGAATAGACTCATAGAGGTATGAAACCTGAGCTTAGATTGTGATTATTCTGGCCATGTATAGTTGTATACAGAATTTCGATAATCATTTTTCAACGTAAAGTTTTCACAAGAAAATCAGCTGGTCGTTTAAAAAAATGATACTGATAGACAATAATACTTTTACTATAATAATAATAATAATAATGTAACTTATATCGCGCCAAATCCACTCTGTGGAGTGCTCAAGGCGCGTGTAAACTATGGTAAAGTTCTTGCATCAAATCAATGCATTAAAACGTTTTTCAAAGTGTGGGGGGGGGGGGGAGGATCAGGTAGCTCAAAGCGAGTTGAGTGCAGGTGTTGTGTCCACAGGGTTCAACGGGCTGACCCCCGAAAGCTCCGGGGTTTTAGGCATTTACTTACGGTCAGATGAGCATATTTGTAATACCTTATTTGTGACACTGGCATGCAGGTCACTTATTGGGTGGGGTCCATAGTAGAGTTGCGTACCAACTACGCTGAGAGTACGCTGTTCTACGTTACTCTACCCTGAGGGACGCAAATGAGTACGCAAGATGGACGCAAACAATTGAATATGTTTTCAAAAATTTCGCATACTTTCGGCGTAGAAACTTGACGCAGAAAGTACGCCTTTTTTATGTAACACTACGCTACTAAACTAAACAAACTGTATCCTTAAATGAATTAATGAAAAATTAGCCCAAGAAAAAAGAGCCCCCCGAAAGTTGAAAAAGTAGTCCCCGAAAAAAAAAAATCTTTCACTGGATTCTACGCTCACAGTCACACACACAGTCGAGTCAATTTGTGCACTGCATGTAGCTGGCTGCTATATATTGGCACAAACCGTCCAATTTTTCGTGTAAAATCTTTAATTTAAAAATGATTATACAAATTTTGTGAACAATGCCAACAAAATCATAATCCAAGCTTCTGCTTTTGTACTCTTTTCATGAAAACTACATTGAAATCACAACAATAATAATGCAAATAAATCGTACTTATTGAGATCCTTCCTGACATAGTTTTTGTTACGGTGTGCCATTCATGGTCAAACAGCATATATTATAAAAATTGTCTATATAAAAATAATCTAATTTTATTTTTGATAGCACATAGGCCTCTATCTATTTAACCCCCCACCCCTCCCCTAGAATCCCGTGGATTTTCCGTGGGTCCTGCTAGTATTATTCTAATACCACTAGGGAATACCTTTGGGGGTGATGGGTTTTCTTTAAAATCTCGTAATACCATTAGATAGAGTGTCTTGCTCTTGTGATCCACTGTTATATCTAAATGTAGAGATCAAGTTATTAATAACTGCAATTTACAATTGACACAACAAAGAGTTTATGCAATTAGTGACAGTTTCTTTCCACAAAAAAAGTTGTACTTTACATGAAAATTTCTTGTTTAAAATTACATATATATCATTCCATTGTAGACTTTAATAGAACTAGCTGTTGTTCATCACATTTGCTCATGATACCTGTTGGTTCTCCTCCTTGTAGCACCCCCTGGACCCCCGTCCGGTCTCTCGGTGGAGGTTGAGAACCTGGCTGCCAACCTGAGCTGGGTGCCAGGCACAGACAACAACAGCCCCATCACATCCTTTACCATCGAAGGACAGACGGATCATAGCGACGAATGGGTCGAACTCCGCTCAGGTCAGTGTCACTGTCCTCCCTCGCGTTGTTGGCATAACTACCTACTAACTCCTTTGCATATTTATGCAATATTTCAACCATCTTTTAGAAGAATAATCAATAATGTGTATAAATTGTTACCAATCAATGGCTGAATAGAACATATTAATGCTGTATTAATTTGCTTATTGCATAATGCTTTTCCTGTGAGAGGCCACTGTGATATTTCACTTTACCGCTAATTTCTTTCCTGCATACTTTAACTAAAAAGAATTCTTTCATCATGCTCAAATATAATGTTCAACTGCAAATAGTAATCC